AACAACAGTGGTGTGTCTCACTGTTAGCAAGGGAACAGGCATTTTCTGTATATGTTCATTGTTTTATCAAAACACATATTCTGTATTTATCTCTGGTGCATTTCTCTCATTAAATAAAAGCATCAGGACCTGAAAATATCCAATAAGTTGGTTTTCTTTTTATGTGGACATGTTCATTAACAAAGTCTTGTTTTTCATTTGTGACACCCCCTACCCTCAACACTTTCATGCAGACTAATTTTCCTTTTAAATAGATTAGGTACTGTACCTGGCTTTCATGCACGTCATGGTGCCAAAAACTAAGCACACTTTGATTAAAGACTAAGTTTTTTGGAAACTGAACATTTAAATTCTACACAGAAAACTGAACCAGCATAAAAAAAAATCACAGTTAGCAATTGTTTCCCACAAAAAATAACTGCAAACAATTTTTAAAGTTTTTTCCCACCCAAGACAGCTTGTAAACTGAACTGAGCTCAGGTAGCTCTGCTCTACTCAGGCAGACCATTTGATATCAACAAGGTCTGTCTGGAAAGCAAAAATTCCATTTCATGACAAATACTGAAGCTTTCAAATTTTATTTCATTCTTATGGGGAAGGAAATGGAGCTGTTAGATTTTTTTTCTGAAACTAGTAGCAATTCTATCACACAAGTACAAGCCATGTATGACTCAGAGCAGAGAAAGAAACTGGGCTTCCCACAGCAACGACTAATTTTCTAATCACTGTACTACTTTGACAGTGGTTCATATTTTCTCTTTTCCTAGATGTCATCCTAAACCTAAAAAAAAAATATTTCTGGCAAATATTGCAGTGAAACCAATACCTTTAAAAAAAACCCAACCAGTTTCAAGTAATCAATATTTTCCAACAAAAACGTTTAGTCAAAAAATTCCCAACCAGCACAAGCATCACGTGTAAATGCAGTTACTCCATGCTGTAAATTAAATTTCACATTTCATGTCATTTTCTATGGACTTTTTCCAAGAAAGCTTTAGTCAACCACATTTATTAACACAGTTTTGAACATGATAAATAACACTGGACACTTATTAGCAATTAGAACTCTTTTAAGAGGTCACTTGCAAAACACAACATTTGAGAATATTAACATGAGAAAGGCAACCCAAAATGGCTTCATTAGAATATATATATATATATATATATATATATA